GGCTCCTGCACTCCCCCCCCCCCCCCCCCCGCTGCCTCTGCCCATCAGCCGGGACCGCGCTGGGCTGTGTGCGGTCTGCGGGCCCAGGAGCTGCGGCCTGTCTCCCCGGGCGCAGGGGGACCACAGCGTCGGACGGAGCCAGCTGTGGGGTCTGGGGTCACCCGGCTCGAGCTTCGTTCCTGACCCTCCAGAGCCACTTCTGCCCCCTGCACTGCCCCACCCACCCCTGCTTCCTGCCTCTTCCGCCGCAGCCCTGCGCCCTGAGGGGTTCGGAGCTTCCCTGGCCAGCACTCTGGGGCCCTGCTAACCCCGCCTGAGAGGCCCCGGGGCCCAGACAGGACCCTCCCCAAACGGGGGTGCGGGCGGTGGGGGGAGACGGGTAACCACGGCCGGGCCAGTACCCTGGGCTGGTGCGGAGTGCGCGTGCCCCAGGAGCTGGTGGCACCAGGCGGTGGGGAGGAAGGCCGGCCTCTCAGGAACCCACCGGGCCCATCCCGGTCCCTCTGCGCCCGCGGGGGGGCCCCCCGCAGCCAGACTCCGGTCGGCCCAGAGCTGCTCCAGATGTGCGCGCCGCAAACATTAATTACACTTTCCCGGGAGCGCCGAGCAGCCGCGGGGGGGACGGCGGCGCCGGCACAGGCTCAGCTGCCCGTCCCTGGGACCCAAAGGAGCGGGCACAGGCCCCCCGCGGCCGGGACCCCCGACTGTCCGGAGGAGCACCCCCGGAGGGCGCGCCCAGGCCCGAGGCCCTGCTCTCGGTGGACAGAGCTCAGCCGTCCGGGGGCCTCTCCAGGCAGGCCCCAGGCTGCCCCTCTGCCGAGACTCTGCCCAGCCCACCGTTCCTCAGGGCTGGCCTGGCGGGCTCCGGGGGGCGCTGGCCAGGAGAGACAGGTGGTCAGGCCCTCGGGGTCCCCCTGTGTGTCAGGACCACGAGCTGCGGCCTCACGGGGCTGAGGCGCTCAGCGATACGAGCAGGGCTCTCTGCCGTGTCTGCCCCAACCGGGAGCCCGGGTTCGAGGGGTTGTGTCACCTGAGAAAGAGCCTCAGAGATCCAGGCTCGGCATGAGTCTTCCGGGGGGGCCTGTAGTCCCTGACGTGGCCGCCCAGCTCTCTGCTCCCAGCCCCCTCCCCTGCAGTCCCACCCCGGCCGAGGCTCCCCTCTCCCCTCTGCAGCGCCCGCCCCTCCAGTGCGGTGTCACCCCCCCAGGAACCCGTCCCTGGCGGCTGCCCTGAGGATCTCGGTCCTTCCTCACGGCTGACCGGGATCTCTCCTGCTTTGCTTTCCCACGAAAGTCTGCGGAGTCGTCCCCCTTCCCCTCCCCCGGACACCCCGTCAGGAGCGGGCAGCCCCCTGGCTGTACCCATCGGAGGGACGGAGGGACCGAGGGACGTGGGCTTCGAGTGGGGAGACTGGTCCCATCCCTGCCTCCTCCCCCATGCACCCCCAGGCACCTGATGAATTATTCATCCTGATCAGCCTCATTATGCAAACGAGCTCAGAGCCCAAGCATATGCTCTCCGCTCTCCCCCCAGGAGGGGGACAATATGGTGCTGACGAGGGAGGGGAGGGAAGGGGCCGTGGGCAGGGAGGGCTGCAGCAGGCGCCACCCCTCTGTGACCTGCTCGCGGGCAGCGTGGGGCAGGGCCGGGCGGCGAGGTGGGCACCTGGGGGCGTGGCGCCACGGTGCCTGGCCATAAGCACGGGGAGGGATGCCACCCAGCTCCAGGCCCCTGCAGGAGCTCCTACTATGTGCTGGCCGTGGGGTGAGAGGAGGAAATGTGACAGGGGTCCCCCCCAACCGCCCTGATGCTTTCCGACTTGTAAATGGGCCACAGTCTGCACAGTCACCCTCCCCCCTCCCCCGTTGTGGTGAGGTTGGAGAGGAAAGTGTCCAGGCAGGAAAACTCCCAAATGCCACGGTCGGCAGTTTCGGGAGCTGCCAGCACCGGCTCCGGCCTCCGGGGGTGGGGCCCCTCGAGGCTGGCAGGAGGGAAGACAGCCCTTTGGGGAAGGAGGCCAAGGCGCCCCGATCCCAGGATCACCGGCTGCAGGTGCCTGAGGCAGCTCGGAATCCGCTCAGGAGTCCCGGGCGGGCGGCCCCGGGGGGAAAGCCGGTGCCAGGGTCCACGGGCTCTGCAGCAAGCCTCCTCCGGACCCACCCGGCATGGCCGGGCACACGGCCCCCTCCTAGGCTCAGCCCGGGCGCGGGGATAGGAGCCGGCGGTGGCTCCTCCTGGCCCCCGGGCGGCCCTTTCCCGCTGGAACTTTTCACCTGCTCCCGCTGCCCGCCTGCCATGTGCCCTGTGCCAAGGAGCTGTCACGGGAAGGAAGAGGCCGAGGAAGCAGCTGAGGAAAGTGGAGCAGGACAGAGCCGCCGGAGAGCTGGCAGCGCCGGCAGGCGGAGGGCTGCCAGGAGGAGCCGAGCGCCAGGTCAGCACTTCTCTGCCTGCTGCCAGGCGGGCCACGGCCATGGCCACGGCCACACCTAGTGGCCCCTGCCCCAGCCCAGCGCCCGCTGCCCCAGGCCCACCCTGCCCACCTTCCGAGAGGCAGGCATCCAGAGGAGCCGGGACAGGAGCAGGCAGCCCGCCCCAGCCGGCCCTGCCCCTCCAGGGCTGCGGGACTTCGGTGGAGGGGTGGAGGGGGCAGGGAGAAGGGGGAGGGGGAAGGTGTGTTTATTTCATTTATTATTATTATTATTTTAAATATATTTTATTGATTTATCTTTATTTTTTAACTTTTAAAAATATTTTTCTAATATGTTTTATTTTATTTTTATTAATTTTTTATTAAATTATTACCTGTGTACATATTTTAACATTGCCTCTCCCCTCCCCTACATACCCTCCCTCCCCAGAGTTTTGTGTCCATTGGTTTTACTTATATGCATGTATACAAGTCCTTCGGTTGATCTCTTATCTCCCCCAGATCTCCCTACCCTCCCCACTGTAATTTGACAGTCTGCTTGCTGCTTTACTGTCTTTATATCTGACTTTTGGTTCATCAGTTTATAATGTTCTTTATTATCCATAAATGAGTGAGGTCATGCGGTGTTTCTCTTTCATTGACTGGCTTATTTCACTCAGCAGGATGTTCTCCAATTCCATCCAGGTTGCTGCAAATGAGAATTCCTTCTTTTTTATGGCAGCATAGTATTCCATTGTGTAGATGTACCATAGTTTTTTGATGCAATCATCTGCTGATGGGCACCTAGGCTGTTTCCCGATTCTAGCTATTGTAGATTGTGCTGCTATGAACATAGGAGTGCATATATCCTTTCTGATTGGTGTTTCTAGTTTCTTGGGATATTTTATTGATTTTTAAAAAATATATATGTTATTGATTTTTTACAGAGAGGAAGAGAGAGGGATAGGGAGTTAGAAACATCGATGAGAGAGAAACATCGATCAGCTGCCTCTTGCACACCCCCTACTGGGGATGTGCCTGCAACCAAGGTACATGCCTTTGACCGGAATCGAACTCGGGACCTTTCAGTCCGCAGGCTGACGCTCTATCCACTGAGCCACACCTGCTTCGGCGGGGAGGTGTGTTTATTGATGGAAGTACCGGAACGGCCCAACTGCCGTCAGAAAGACAGCACACCCCGGCAGGACGGTGACCAGAGGGAGTCTGACTGATAACGGGGTGCCGCCTGCCCCTGCTGTTCTCACCCTCACCCCCGGCCAGACCTCCAGCCACGCCCGGACCGGGAACCAGGAGGCTCTGTGTTCCCCCAGACCCGAGTCCCAGGCGTGACACGCGCAGGTTCCTGTCTCGGTGGCGAATTCCCCCCACAATGTCCTGGAGGGACTCAGGGCGCCTGGTTAACCCCTCCTGTGGGCGCGTCCCGGGTTCCCACCGGGAGCCGGACAGGCCCGAGGCTGCCTTCCGGGGGACTCCGGCTTCTCCTGGGGCGCAGGGAACCGCAGCATCTGGTGGAACCAGCTGCAGAGTCCGGGGTCCCCAGGTTTGAGCCTCCCCTTCCTGGCACATTCCGCCTGGCACGGGGCCGAGCCGTCAGGCCCCTGAGCACAGCCCGGCCTCTGGCCCGGTGTGGCCGGCCTCTGAGCACGGCTGCGGCACAGGAGCTGGCGGGAGAGCGGGCGGGGGGTGACTGCCTCTGGGGACGGAGTTCTGGGAGCCTGGGCCCCGGGGGAGAACAGCCGGCAAGTGGGGGGCTCCGGCCTCCAGCCCTGGCGCCCTCTCCGCCCGGAGCACCTCCTCAGACCCAGGTGACCATCTCCTGTGCGGGGTCCTCTGTCCTCGGCCCGCATCTGCTTCCCGGCTCCCGGCACCTGCTGTGAGCTCAGTGCAGGGAGACTGAGAACAGCCCCGGCAGCTGCCCCACCGAGGTCCCACCTTCTGACCTTGGCCCTGGCTGAGAGGGGCGGCAGGACACACGGAGCCGGGCCTGGGCTCTGAGTGGCTCCGTGGACTCCGCTGTCCGCGGGGGAACCACGGGCAGGAGGTGCCGGTCAGGCCCCCGGCCGCCGAGCTCTCCCATAAGCAGCGACGGCTCAGGATGCCGACAGCCACACGTCGGCCGGCCTCGGGGTGACGGATGGCCGGCTCTCCACATCCGCGTCGCGAGCATTAACATAATCTCCCAGATGGATGTGCCGCTCGGTCCATCCATCACCCCTCCCGCCCCGGTCCTCACCTCGCCCGGCTCCCCGCGGACGAGTGCACGGCCCCATCCGCCAGACCCTCCAGGGCCTGGACTCCCGCCCCGACGCTGCCGCACACACCGGCCTGACCACCCGCCAAGCCCGGCCCAGGGCCGACGGGGCCGCTCAGCACAGCGAGCGCAGGGAGGGCAGGCCGGGACCCGGAAAAGCCGCTGTTTCTCTGGCGACGCCTCCCTGCCCCCAAGGGTCAGCCGTGCATGTTACACCTCCCGCGTCCTCAACCAGGCCCGCCAAACCTCCTCGCTCCCCATGTCCAGAGCCCCCGCTTCCCACGTGGGAGAGGGTCCGAGGCGGGGGAGCGGCCGGCTTACCTCCCGGAGCTGCTGGGCGCCCCCGAAGATGCGCATCACGCCGTCGATCTCCTGCTCCAGGCGCCGCGCCCAGTGCTGCATCCTGCGTGCGGAGAGGAGAGAGTCAGGGCCGCCTGGTGCCCGGGCAGCCCGCCCGGCCCCCGGGGTGCCCGCAGCAGCCACCCCTCCAAACACCGGGTCCCTGGGAAACGCAGCCTCGAGGCCCAGGCCCGCGGGCAGCAGCCTGACGCCGGAGGGGGCCGGCGGACCCACAGGGAGACCGCACCGTGCAGAGCGGCCGGGCCGTGGGGACTGGCCCCGGGAAGGGGGGCAGGAGAGGGCGGGGAGCCTGCTGGGCCCGGAGCCTCTGGTCCCCAGGGCGGGTGGGGTCTGGGGGAGGGAGGGACTCGAGTGGCTGCTGCCGCCAGAAGTCAGGGGGCCTCTTCGGAGCAGCGGACACAGATCTCCCAGCTCAGGGCCCTCGCCTTTCCAGCGCCCAGGACACATGCTGACCCCTGGGTGCACGTTCCCTAGGACCCCCCTCCCCCAACACACACACACACACACACACACACACACACACACACGGCCCTTTCAGAGCATCCGGCCCCTCTCTGGGGACACGGCAAGCCCCCCGAGTCCCGCACCTGAGCCCCCAGCCTGAGCCGGTGCCGCCTCAGAGGTGAGAAGGGCGCACAAGGACACGCCAAGGATGGTGCCCAGGGAGCTGGGGACGGACCGGACGGACAGACGGTCACGTGGCCCTGTGTTCTCAGCCCAAACCCACGCCCAGGGCGGTATCCGGGGTGAGGCCTGGCCAGGTTCTAACCTGGGACCCGATCGGTGAGCACAGGGGCTGCCAAGAGATGCCCTCCCCCCCCCCCCCCCCCGCCGGCCACAGGCGCCTCCGCGGTGACCAGGACCCCTCGTCCGAATGCGTCTGAAAAGGCACCTCAACTCCCCAGTCCCACAGGCAGAACGGGGCCCCCCAGCGAGGCCTCCCAGGCTGCCAGAGACGCAGTGCACCGTGGGTCCAGCACGCCCCAGAGGGCAAGGGAGGGGTGCCAGCCCCCACCCGGGAGCCCGGGCGCGGGAGACCACACTGGGCCCCGCGCCCGCCAGGGGCCTGCCTCCTCCGCTCCCGCCTCCCCGGGGCCACGTGGTGCGGGACCTTCTGGCGCTCTGGGTCCGAGGAGCTTGCCTCTGCCCCACATCCCTCCCCAGGCCGTGGCGGGGGCTGGGCCTGTGCCATTGTGCGTGCCCGGGTCCGTTGGCATGGGAACTCCGAGCAGGAGGCGGGCAGATCACTAATTGCAATTTGCCAAGCTGAATGTCAGGACCAAAATGAAAAAAAAAAATCAACATCAAAAGAACGAGGTATTAGCTTCGGCTTGTTGCCGACTGGGCCGCAGCGTGGGGCCCACCTCCACGCCCACCACAGGGGACGCGAACCCGCGCCCGGGCAGAGGCCAGGCTGCACGCCAGGCTCGGGGGATCGGGCATCGGCCGCCAGCAGGGGAGGGCAGAGCCCATGGAGAACGCGGGCCCGGAGCGGCCTGGCTCCTGCCCACCGGGCACGGACGGCCTGGCCCGGCTGTGGGTGGACAGCAGGCAGGTGGCCGTTCTGTGCTCCCGAGCTGGAGCCTGGCAGGCCTCACCCATGGCTGAGGCCAGGGAGCTGATCTCCAAAGGGGACCATCAGCTCAGCCTTCGCACTAGGCTTGACCTTGACCCTGACCTCAGCCATGCGCTGGCCAAGGGGACAGAATGCCCGTCATACTCCTGCCTGGGACCATCACGTACAAGGACACCCCTATGATGGACAAGCTGTGGTGCCGACATGTCGCCGGCTTCCTTGCTTCAATCCTCGGGAAGAGGCAAACGCCACCTTCCCCAACGAACAGATGGGGAAACTGAGGCAGAGAGATGGCACGTGACCTGCCCAAGGTCACCCACCCAGGAAGTGGTGGACACGGAATGCCCCGCAGGGGCACCTCTGCCCAGCTCTGCCTTCGGAGCTTGAGGCGGCCACGGAGGGAATGTGTGTGCAGCGGCAAAGGCAGCCAATCACGGCCTCCCCCCTCTCCTGCCTCCTCCCGAGAGCACAGCCCCAGCCGTCCCAGGCCGCTGACTCCTTCCCAGTGCGCCTGTGGGTCTCCCGTTCCAGGGCCCACAGATAAAAGAAAATTAACTGGAAGACCGGGCATGGGTGTCAAATTTTTATTCTGCTCAGACAACACGTTATTGTCGTTATTATCATCACCACCATTTCATCAAAACAGGCTATCTCAACCCTAAAACATTTTCCCAGGAGATCTATCTCAGGATAAAGTCCCGTTCTTACCCAAAACACACACTCACTCCCCTTCCCTCCATTCTGCTCTCCCTTCCTGTCCCCAGCACACATGTGCACACACACGCGTGCACACACAAATACACACAGATGTGCACACACATGTGCATGCACAAATACACACAGATGTGCACACACATGTGCACACACAAATACACACAGATGTGCACACACACGCGCATGCACAAATACACACAGATGTGCACACACACGTGCATGCACAAATACACACAGATGTGTGCACACACATGTGCACGCACAAATACTCACAGATGTGCACCCACACGCGCATGCACACATACTCTCATGAGTGCGCACACGCACACATGCACAGCCTCCCCTCTCCCACTCCCCCGCTGAACAGCTCTGCAGGCTGCCCTGGGCTGCAGGGCCGGCCCCCCCGGGACACACCCTCCCTCCTGGCTCTCGGGGCAGCTCCCGCCCCGGGTCTTGCGTGCGGGGCCTGGTGGGTAGGCCGGGCGGCACCGCCATGCCCTCCGCGCACAGCACGCAGGTTACCTGTCATCCACCTGCCCCGGACCCAGCCAGGGGCCACTGTGTGTGCCCAGGACATGACAGACCCTTCATTCCATCGTTTTAAAAAGTATGTATTATATAGATTCTTAGAGAGAAACATCGAGGAGAGCGAACATCCCTGACTGCTGCCTCCTGCGTGCCCCCCTACCTGGCAGAGCCCTGGCGAGCCCCATCGGGATGGAACCGGGACCGCTGGGCCCGGGGCCAGTGCCCGGCACGAAGCCACGCCAGCTGGGCCATTGGTCTCACCTGCACAGACGCGGCTCGGTGGGTTCCCGGCCTGGCTGGTGTCCCAGCGCGGGCCCCACAGCTGGGGAGCACCCACCCACCCGGGCTGAGCCTGGCCGGGCATCGGCGTCCTCACCCCGCCGCCCCGCCGGGGCCAAGGCGAACGGGACGCTCCGGGCCTCGCTGAGATGACACCGCTCAGCGCGGCAGCGAGGAGAGGGAGGCACGTGCGGCCTGTCGCAGCGCACGGCGGCGGGGCAGCGCCAGCTCCATCCCTCCACGTGCCTGAGCCCGGGAGGGTCCGGCCGCTGCCCCGGCACGGATAGGAGACCTGGGGCCAGAGACAGGGCCGGGGCCGGGCCCTGTACCTGGAGGAGCCAGGCCTGTGGTCCGGCACCAGCGGGACCCTGACCTTGGAGAGCTCTGCCCCCGTCCCGGCCTGGCTGGCTGAGCGGAGCGTTACCGGGCGGCCCCCCGAGGGCCAGCTCGTTCACCCAGCCCCTCTCCCCGGCCCCGCACTCAGACACTCCCGGGACGCCTGCACTCGGGGAGGAGATGGGGAGGGAGAGTGCCCGGCGGCTCCCCTCAGCCCCTGCTCCCTCGCTCAGAGGGACCAGGAGTGGGCACAGGCGCAGTGAGACGCTGAGCCCCGGGCTGCAGGACCCCAGGCCTTAGTCTCCAGGGCAAGGTCAAGGTCAGAACCAAGGTGGGAGGGAAGAGGGGGTGTCGCCTTCTGGCGAGGTGTGGGGTGAGGACCCCCATTAGCAGGCAGAGCCGTGGAGACCCAGCAGGAAGGCCAGGGAGGCCCTGGCCCCGGGACAGAGCGCTCAGGAGGGGCTGCAGCGCAGAGGGGAGGGGGCAGGGCCAGGGGGAGGGGGGAGAAGATAGGGAGAGGGGAGGGGAGGGGAGGAGGGGGGAGAAGGCGCAGAGAGGGACGGGAGCCTGCCTGCAGATGCAGCAGCACAGATTAAACTGCTGCCAGTTGTTAATTTTATATGTGGAGTTGTTGATCAGAATGTGATTTAATTGTACAGTATAATCCGGGCTTTTGGAATAAATTATGCAGAAAACTCATCTATAATTAAACAAATCAAAAATCCGGAGACAGGTGACACGGCAGGTTCACCCTCAGAGGGCGTGGGAGGTGTGGGCGGCTGGACCCTGCGGGGGGGGGGGGAAGGAGGGGGGAGGGCCAGGCAGGGGGGCCAGGGCCTGGGAGGGGCAAGACCCTTGGGACTCCCAAGCTCAGCCCCTGTAGGCCTTCTCCCCTCTCCCAAGGCCTGCTGCAGGCTGCCTCCACCAGGCTGGCTCTTGGATACACCCCTTCCCCTGGGGCTCAGGAGCAGCCTATGACCCCTCCCCCCCCCCCCAGGGCTGGAGCAGCAGGTGAAGGGGATGGGTGTATGAAGGGGGGGGCACACGGCAAGACAGCGTTGGGTGGGGCAGGTGGGGTGGCCATTGGGAAGCTAACGGATCTCTTAAAGGGAATGTGCCCCACACTGAGACCCTGACCTCCCTCTGGAATCCTCTTCCTCCATCCCTTACTCCTCCCCCCTTCCTTCCCGCTCAGCTGATGGCAGCTCCCTCTGTTCGGGCCGAAGCCTCAGGGGCCTGGGACCTGCCTTCTCACTGTGCCCACTGCCTACCAGCTCCCGGCCCCACCGCCCTGGCCACCCGCCTCTCTCAGGGCAAGTGAGTCATCAGCGCTGGCCTGTCCACCTCGCCCCCCCGGGAAGCCGCGCCTCTGCCCAAGCAGCGCTGACTCCGCATGACCTCCTGGGCCAACACGGTCCCCCGTGCCCGTTCCCCAGTGCCCGAGGCCTCCTCCCCTGAGGCTGAGCCCCAGGAGCAGGCTCCTGCTCTGGGGCCTGGAGAAGCAGGCTCCGGGCTGCGCTTCCCAGTCGGGCAGGGCAGGGGAGGGGCAGGGGCAGGGGCAGGGGCAGGGGCAGGGGAGGGGCAGGGGCAGGGGAGGGGCAGGGGCAGGG